GAGGGAACTGGGATTGACATATAAAACAAGCTTGTTTCTAATTTAAATGTAAAAAAAATCTGAGACAGAAAAAAAAAGAAAGAGTAGCATGACAGCGTTTGGAGCTGTAGTGCTGTGAGGTGAGGGTAGCCTGGCAAGCCATGGTGTTAATTATACAGATTCTGCTGTGATGTCATAATTAGATTCCTACAAGCATACGACCGTGCATTTCACTATGACAATGTGCCCTGGGGAAGAATAGCAACAGGAATATGGTTTATTTTTCTTCTCAGCATGGTGTTTGGCATCCGCACTCTTGCCTATCGAAGTACAATGCAGGAAGACTCCAGTTGCAGAATTTGGGGGATAACACTCTCAAAAAGAAGGGATATTTTTGTGTTTCCTGGGTAGGTCAAGCTATTGTCCCTCTTTAAATGTCTAGTTCCACCCTCATTATCTTTTCCCTTGCATACAGCTTTATATAATTTCAACCCTCCCTCCTTTCACAGATAGGGACATTAGCTACTACACATAGGCATCACCTACTCCATTTGTCATGTTTTCTGTGAAGTCTTCTGAACTATTTCAAGTAGTCTTGGAACGTTGGACATACGTTTTGACACTTTGAGGATCTTGGCATATCCTCCCCACTTGACTGGTGAAAGTCCTGTGATTGAGACTGGGGAATGCATGAGTGAACTGCAAAGCAGACTGAATCTTCTGAGTGTCCAGGCCTGAGACTGCTTTCTATAGGATGCGTCAGCCAGTATTTATGCTCCGGCTTGCTCATGAGTGTCATGGAAAACATCCAGCATCAACATGGCAATATTGACAAGAAAATGAAAATATCAGGCAGAAAAACCATAGACATGTGTGGTTTGTAAAACAGTACAAGTTGCAAGGGAAAGAAAATGACACAACCCATGGCTTTGAAGGAGGTAAGCTTAATTCCTTCTCAATCAGGAGGACTTCCCCTTTTTTTTTTTAACCTTTTCATTGCTTTCATTATAATTATGGAACTCACAGTAAACTAATGGTATAATTTCCTCAGATAAATATTCTTTTGTTTGTTTGTTTGGTTGGTTTTTTTCGAGACAGGGTTTCTCTGTATTGTTTTGGAGCCTGTTCTGGAACTCGCTTGGTAGACCAGGCTGGCCTCGAACTTACAGAGATCCGCCTGCCTCTGCCTCCCGAGTGCTGGGAGTAAAGGTGTGTGCCACCAACACCCAGCAGATAAATATTCTTTATGCAAGTTTATTACCTCATAAAACCTTTATGGGATAGTAATCATTCATACCTTAGTTGGGATTAATTTACCTGCTTATTTTTACTCTCATATGTAGTTGGAAGTAGCTGGATTTTGCTCAGGAAAATATTTAGAAATGCCAAGGTTAATGAATGTTTAAAAAATGAAAGAGGCCAGAGTGAACTCTATACCAAGAAAGAGTAGGAATATTTGGCTTGGCTTGAGAATAAGGACAACAAAAAATAGAAATTCACTTAGAGTATGACAATCCCTTGGGAGCCATGATTGTTAGAGCAAGGAAGAAACTCTCCCCTCCTTCCTTTTCCCCTCTTAACCCTATTTTGACATCACACAAATCAGTTGGTTCCAATAATTTTGTTTGGAGTGAGTAAAATTGTACTGACAAGTCTGAGATGACTACCAGCTTAGAACAAAAACGGAAAACATCTGCATTTGAAAGGACAAATTTATAAGCATGGATTTGGAATGCAATTTACAAGCTGAAGTCTGCTGCTTCTGCACGTCAACTGATTTACTCTGGCTAATAGTTAATGTGCAAATAATTGTTCTAAACAGCTAGGGGAATGTCCTGAATGATTTATTGTTGTTATTAATTCAACACAAGCTTGGGTTATTTGGGAAGAGGGAACCACAACTTACAGAAAGCATTTAGATTATGGAAGGTGTGGGGAACAAGAGAAGAGTAGGAACTTAAAGGCAGCAAAGTGGCCAGTCAAGAGGTGGTAGAGATGAAGGTATAGCTTGTATGTTTCCCTCTTCACAGATGCCTGCAACACATTTATGGGAATTGGCTGTTATGAGTTTACAGACCTCTTCAAAATGTTGGTCCGAATGTGCACTGGGCCTCTCTGAATGGGAGGGCTCCATGTCATTCTCCATTCTCCATTCATACTGCTTTGATACAGCTTCCTAGAGAAACATGGAGCTTGGAGAAGAATAGAAAACTGAACTGTCAGGTCCAAAGGGAACTCTATTTCCCAAAATTCCAAAAGACAGAAAGGACAAACGGCTATCTCTGATACCTATTAGTGTACCAAAGTGCATGCTGGCTTCCAGGCTCCTTCAGTAGTACAAGCAGGTACCTGTTACACATTGCAAAGTTCATGCTAACATCCTAGCCCTTCTCATCTCCCCACCACCCTAAACTCCTTCCAACTCATGGGTTTCTCTCCCTGCAGTTGCTCAGAATGCTTATAACTCTGCTATTGCAGATATGTTCTCTGTCTCCCTCCTCCTTTCATTTTTTGTCTACTGCCTCTGTTTCTTCCATTCTCCACCTCCCCCTTTTCCCCTATTCCCTCTCACACTTTCTGCTCACTCCTGCTTCTCTCATGGCCAGATCCAGTCTGCTGGCTATGTTCAGTCTACTTCTGTCTGCTCTGGACTCTTCTAGATGCCTCCTGCTGTTGTCTCTTATATCCACAATAAAAACCTCCTTAACCATGCCCTAGAACAGTCGTGTTGTCAAGCTATGCAGGGAAGATTGTGATTGGCACCTGCCTCCATTGAATATAAAAGAGTAATGGTAGTGGGGCTCTTTTTCCTTTGGAGCTAAAAGGAAGCTGTTTGGACAAGAAGCTTAAGGAGCAAGAGCTGTGAAATCTTAGGAAAATGAGAATTGTAAGACACAGAAATTTTATTGTTCATGATATAGGGTGACTTGGATGATGGTTGAGTACTGTATGTCTCAAGAAGCTGAAAGAAAGGATTCTGAATGTTTTTCTCACACAGAAATGAGAATGAGAAACATTTGAGGATCTAGATACATTTGACCCCATTTAGTCATCACACAGTGGATATACATATTGAAATAGACAGCCAGGTGTATATTTTATGGATTTATGTAGCAGTTACATTTTTCAATAAGAGTTAAAGAGCCAAGGAAAGCATGTCTAATTTTAGGTCTTGTCATTGCCTTTGCCCAAGCTCTGTGATACACAGGAATTTTATGTGCCATTTTTCTGTAGACTGGAGAATAGTTTGGAGCAGAAATACTTCTAATGGATCATCCCGAGTCACGTCGAGAACAGTGTGACTCTGGGTATGTCTCTGGATGTTAGCCTCACTCTCATCATCTGTAAGTGGGAAGTGATTCTCTTTGAACATGAAATATACAATTAAATGAGTTATGGGAAAAATACTGAACATTAACTTCTAATAGTGTTCAATAAGTATTCTATTTGAAACTTTCCTGGGTTTTTGTATTCTTTTATGCAAGGCAAGCATTGACTTAGAACACCTATTAGTAAGGAAAGCATGAAAGAATATAAAACAGGTTTAGCAGTGGCAAATTTCTCAAGTTGCCATTAAAAGGCTTAAAACCTCCAAACTGTTTTTCAATAGTGTGGGTAAAATGTAATTGGAAGCAGCTGAACAAATTTGCCATGAGTCAGGTGGGGCCTTCAGTATGCTTGCTCTTGTATGTATCTGTGTTTCTTTACATTTTTGCTAGTTCCCTGAAACCAGAAGAAGACAAAGATTGTTCTTCTTTCTTCTTTAGTACACAAAAGTTCCCAATACTTCTGATCAGACTGTTAATACTTTAAGGTTTTAGGCAATCCAAGACCCAATCTAAATTGTGTGCTGCTTTATTTTTAATGAGCTTGCATTCTAAAGAGAAAACATACTCCATAGTTCCCTATGCTAATACTGATGCTAATAATGGCAGAGTTTTATCTTCAAGA